AGATGTGTATAAGAGAGATGTGCGTGTGTGTGCATGTGTGTAAAGAAATCAAACAAAATTTATGCATCTGCCTCAGAATAACATAATTATTGTATAAATACTTTCGACCATCATCAGGTGATATCACATGATGCCTAATAACCAATCAGAGAAACATGAATGAGAGCTTAGCCCAATGATAGAGCATGATTGACAGCTGATGGCATTAGTCAATGCAGGAGTGTCTATGTGAATCATTCCAGTTTTAGATCTTGAAGAGACAAGAAGGCACACTTTCACATTCAAATACTGAACAAAATCAAGCAGATTTGGCAAATTTGGTTTTCTGCAAGTAACACTTTATTGCAAGGTTGGTTTCATCAAAATATAAGAGGTAGGAGTCGGACATGATAAATAATGCAGTAGGGATATTAATTTCTATGTAACTGTACTTCGCAAATCCATATTCAGGAAACACGCGAAGGGGAGAGGGGTTGTGAGCATTGATATGGACCCTGTAAACATTTAAAAGTTACAGTTAATAATTCAAGTTATTTTACTAGTTTTTTAATCATAAAATCTGTAATTATTTGAAATAATTACATATTAAAATTTAGTAAAGCAATTTCATTTCATGTATTTTGTTTTTGGTTAGAAAGTTGTGATAACCAAATTAATCATTAAATCACAGGATGAAAAGTAGCACTTATATATATTTAGTTTTACTGTGGATCTTAATCTACCTGTAGTTTTGAAAGAAGGTAATTTTTCAGTGATGAATCTTGTTTTAAGTTCACTTAATCAACATCCCAGATTAGCAAGCTTAAAAAATGATGAAATACATCATTAAAGATAAATGTTACTATAGTATTACAGCAAGTTATCAAATTCTAAGAATATGTACAGTATCTAATTATTATTACTGTATTATATTATCAAGCGTTTCATCATTGACATCAGTATTAGCTTTCAGACTGGTATTATATTATCACTATGGTTACTTATTATTATCATTATTATTATTAATCATCATCAATCATCATTATTACTATCATCACTCTCAGCACCATCATTATTGTGCTATGAAGGAGTTAAAAGCAATATAGTAATATTCTTTACATAGGTGTGTGTGTACGAGTGGCATGACTATGATATACTTGAAAGAAACATTTGTGTTCAGCATATCTATTTGCTACATTTTTGTGGTTGCAAACCAAGATGCTCAGAAGTCTCCAGAAACATGCACCCCAGGAAGTCTTCTTGGAATTCCTGGTGTTCCTGGGCAACCAGGTGTCCCTGGAACAGCAGGTGTTCCTGGCATCCCAGGAACACATGGCCAGAAGGGTGACACAGGCCAGCAAGGTCCCAGAGGCGAGCCTGGTATGCCTGGAGATAAAGGCTCAGTAGGTCCAACTGGCCCTGGCGGTCTACCAGGTAAAGCAGGTCCAAGTGGGCCTAAGGGAGAGAACTGCATCATGGAATCAGCAGGAATTAACAGCAATACAACTTCTCAACTTCAGAAATCTGCTTTTTCAGTTGTTCTAACAGGATACGATGGTAAAATATCAATAAACGACCCAGTGAGATACAATATTATTCTTAGCAATGTTGGAAACGACTACGATCAATTGACTGGAAAATTTACATGTCGTATTCCGGGTACCTATGTGTTCTCTTTCATGGCTATGAAATCTGCCACCGAGGATGCGGAAACAGCCAGTCTCCTGTTAATGCTCAATGGAGTATTTCAACTGGGGGCTCACTGTGATAGAAAAAATCGCTTGAGTACATCCACTAATATAGGTATACTAAATTTAAATACTGGCGATAAAGTTTGGATACAGCCACGACATGATTATCTGTATGGGGATCGGTTCAGATATCCCAGCTTTTCTGGTTTCTTACTTTATCCACAATAAAATTTATTCAATGTTTTTTTCATGCTCCATGTTAACAAGTTAAAATGTTTTGATCATTTACTTTATCTTATATTACTTTTTTTTTTCAAAATTGAAACATTGGTAATAACAATAAATGATAATAAGGCCAAAAAAAAAAAAAACAATAAATGTAAACAAGAATACAGTATAATTTTCTGTTTTACTTACAGTATTTTAATACACTATCTTCATCATCGACTAAGCCATACTGACATAGGTATATAAGCATGCATTGAGTACAAGTTTTCTGAACAATACTTTATAAAAAAAATTGTCAATTCCAAAAAAAGTGTTCATTCCCTTAATAGTGAACAAAAATCAACACCTTTATACAAACTTATCCAATTGGATAAACATTCATTCTCTTTAACAATATACTGCCATGTGAATCTAATAAAATTGGAAATTTTCAGATAAAGAAAAAAAAAACAAACCCTTTTTTTCATGCTCCATGTTAACAAGTTAAAATGTTTTGATCATTTATTTTATCTTATATTACTTTTTTTTTTTTAAATTGAAACATTGGTAATAACAATAAATGATAATAAGGCCAAAAAAAATAAATTGTTTGTTTGCCCTGCTTTTATTAAAAATGATAAATAGGGGCGGGTGGATAAAGTTTTCTTTTTTATTTATTTATTTTTTTTAAATACTCATCAGATGGAATAAAAATAACCCACAGAGGCCTAGAATGGCAATATCTTACATCGGACAACAACTTTAGACTAATTTGTAGAGCATCTGGCAAAAAATACAGATAAATTCACTCATATTTTTTTTAATTTGTTAAGAAAAGAGCTAAAAAAAACTTTTCTTAAGTTTTTTTGTTTTTCCGCCCCTATTTTTTCCAGTGAGTTAGGGGCAGGCGCGGAGGGCAAACAAACAATTTTTTTTTTTTTTGGCCTAATATAACACATATAATATTTACAACATTCTATTACACATAAGGGTCTCTTCTGGGACCCTTGTTATTTATTATTTTTATAGTGACTTTACAAAGTGTTCAAATATGTTTTCATCTACAGGTATTCTTTTTGGTGGCGACTCAAGTCCCTTTTATTAACATAGCAACATAAATACTTACACTACTGGATAAGTAAATTCTGAGCTCTCTCTTGTCATGTGCAGGATTAAAACAAATTATCATTAAATTTACTTTGAACCAATTTTATGATACTTATCAGTACTTTACAAGAAATATACCTAATCAAGTTATGTTATTTAGTTATTTACTATTGTAGATAATACATTTGGCTGAAGGAACAAAGTAATAAATTTACTGCTTTGCTTTAGTGTTCCTCTCCCCACTGCATATACATTTGTTTTTGCATAACATATGAGTGAATAAACACTTGAATTGAAGTCCACCCTTTCTGAAAAATACCAAATTCATACAAAGTAAAGCATTTTTTAAGTAATGGTGATAAAGTTAGATACAACCACAATATGATTATACTAGGATTGATACCGATATCCTAGTTCTTCTTGTTATATTGAAACAAGTTAAAATGTTGATATGTTATTTCAGCTAAAATTATTTGGGAAATAAAAAATATTTCGGAATAATATATTTTAATCAAAATATTTCCTTGACAATATTTTATTTTATAAATGATTTATCATCATTTGGAAACATTAATAGAATAGTATTACTTTGTTACAAAATGTCCAAATTTCTTCAATGACAATAAAATGTTGATATGTTATTTCAGATAAAATTCTTTGAGAAAAATATTTCTGAATAATATACTTTAATTAAAATATTTCCTTGAAAATATTTTATCTTATAAATGATTTTTCATCATTTGGAAATATTAATAATATACGGTAGTCTTATTTTGTTACAAAATGTCAAAATTTCTTCAATGATAATTGTTGATAACAATAAATGTAAACAAGAATACAGTATAATTTTCTGTTTTACTTACAGTATTTTAATACACTATCTTCATCATCGACTAAGCCATACTGACATAGGTATATAAGCATGCATTGAGTACAAGTTTTCTGAACAATACTTTATAAAAAAAATTGTCAATTCCAAAAAAAGTGTTTATTCCCTTAATAGTGAACAAAAATCAACACCTTATGTTTAAAAATACTTTATACAAACTTATCCAATTGGATAAACATTCAGTCTCTATAACGATATACTGCCATGTGAATCTAATAAAATTGGAAATTTTCAGATAAAAAAAAAAAAAAACAAACCCCAGTACTTCAATTATAATTATGGAATACAGTACACATTCAGCTCTTAATTTTGAACAGGTTCAGTACTTCATATTAAATGAACCAATTGGAAACAAGTCAAAATCAAAGTCCTGAACAAAAATAAAATGATCCAATAAGATATACATTCACCAATAAACAAAACCAGTCCTCTTTTCCATGTTTTAAATAATTTTCCAAAGAAAATATCTCAACGGAAATTATTGAACATCACGTAATGACAATTAGGCACATCGTGACTATATACAGACATACAAAAGTTTTTTGAAAATCTGATAATCTGGATAGATCTTTAAACCAGTAGGAAAAAATAAAAGGTCAACATATGTGACACCAAATGCTTCTAGCCAAAAATAATTGATTTAGAATATTTTTTCATACATATATTTGATGTAATGCAAAAGAAGAATTTTTTTTCATTTTCAAGTATAAATTGAAGCATGCAAAACATAACATAAACCAAGTTGTTTCTAAATCTGAATTAAATTCAGTATTATAACATTACTTTTTATGCACTCCAGTATTAGGTAGCTTTTGATTTGCACAACGACACAACGCTATAACGGATTCACTCATCCAGCCTAGAATCCATGCAACTGCGAGAACTAAAGATTCTTGCATGTGCAGATGACTTTATGTGACCTCATTATATTCTACGTCCTATGGTCGTCGTGCAATCAAAAGCTCTCTAGTATCTACCTAAAACAAGGTTGAAATTATTACATGATGCCACACATCTCCTTGTACTTTGACCCAGACGCTCTTGTATTGCTACGTTTACTTCTTCGGGAAGAAAGAAACCTCCGTCCAGTATTAGGTTCATCTGTAATGAAGAGGAATAGAAACACTGGTTAAAAAAACATGCAAAAATTTTATGGCACAACTACAATCTAGTTTATCTGAAGTTTATAATGTTTATCTCAATTATAAGTCAATAATATACAAGTATTGACTGCTCATGAAGGGAATGGTGAAATCTATTGCCCCGAGGTTATAAGCTACGGTCTCCACATTACCAAGGAGCAATAGATTTCACCGTTCACTGAGTCTAGAGTAGTCAATATTTGTTTCATATACCTCATACATAGATTCTATGAGACCTAAAAAAGTAATTAAGACAGTACAAACTAAGTAGGCCTAAGATTACTTTACAGGCCTAGGCAATCAAAGGGTCAATCTCTCTCAGCATCGTAGAGGTCGCATCTCCTTTACCATTCGTGTGTGTCATAACCTACATAGCAATACAGCCTAGAGATTGCATATCACGCAGCAGGGCAAAAAAGTACTATCCCATAGGGTAATATTTTTCTATTGCCTGCTTCTTAACAAATCAGATGCCTAGAATCTTTATATGCGTTATATAAAATAAATATATTTCTATGAAATATCATACGTCATATAGGCAAGATATTCGGTAGTGCTTTTTTAACTGCTGAAGTAACCAATTAGCCACATCATGTATTATAGTCATGCCCATACAATTAAAGACACCCCAATGATCCAATAATTCATTAAATCATTAATCTTTCAATTCAATAATCATGTTTAGTTAAAGCTGTCAGATCAACTTTTGTTGCATTTTTGGGTGTAAATACACTAAAAAAAATAAATACAAAATATACATACCACTCCCAAAAGTTGACCATTTGTCGTTTGCCTCATCATAAGTATATCTAGGTTGACCATTATCAAGACTTGGATCCCACCATGGCCTAGCAACATATCTTTCATTCTAAAAAAAAAAAAAAATAATAATATTTACTGGTTTACCCTTGTCTATTAAAAATGTTTTTGATCAGAAAAGTATAATATAAAAATATAGTACTGCATGTGAGAGAAGATGGTGTAGTAGTATGGGCTTCAAATAAACAATTAGGGTTTTGAGTCAGAACCTAGCAACTTGTTTGTGACCCGTGGCAAGGCATTTTATTATGCATTCATTAGATAGTTTTCGCAAGCTTACGAAAAGGATAACAATACGTTTTCGTAATTTTTAGACAACCCTTCCCCTATAGTAAGATATCGATTCATGACTTCTGCATCACATTCATACTTTTTGCATCACATTCAATTTGTACAACATATTGTCAAGGATGTTTCAGGCATGAATGACGATAATGATAATTAACGTATTCGTTATTGTTTTTGTAAGGTTGCAAAAACTGCCCATTGTTTCTCTCCACCCAAAAAGCGGATACGTGATAGGCTTGAATACTAATATCTGAATAACTTGCTGTGCATTATGGAATACTCCCTCAAAGAGAGCTCAGTATGTGCTTCATAAGTGCTTGAACCAAGGACTCTGGGGTTATAATGTCAAGCATACTAGGCATGTCTTGTCAATAAGATTGATAAAATAGTATTATAATGAATAGCAGCAAAGAGAGAAAGTTTAATCAAGATGTTATCCCAAAGAAAATCAAATCAAATATATTTGAAAAACTATTTTGTTTCGTGCTACACATACATGGTGCAACACTCTTCAGATAAAATTGTCTAATGACTTAAGATTTTCACAGATTGATTAATTGTAAAATTGAGCATGTGCAGAGTAAATGCGGTAGTTCAAAGGCAGCAGTAGACTGTGATCATTAAGTAATTAATGAAGGATTAAACAACAATGAAAGATAATATAATGATTGTAAATTATATATAATACATATATAATACATATAATACATATAATATATATATATATAGAACTGGAGGTCGCTGGAACAGAATGTTGCTACTCGGAGTTTCACGCTATTGCGATCGTCAGGCAACTGATGAAAGGTGAACGTTGCTGTCTCTTATACACATCTAGATGTGTATAAGAGACAGCATATATATATTTCACAAATAGGTACCAGCTGTGCGCTCTGCCATCTCCTCAAAGAAAAAGTTAGCATTATAAGGGCCGTGCATGGCTTGCACACTGTACACCTGTAATCCAACAAATAAATTCATCAGTATAAAGTGGTACACATTATAGTTATTTTATCAATATCCCTGACGAATTTCATATAGTTTCAATGAAATATATGTAGTTTAATTCTTATTTACAATAGATATGTACATAGGTTCTTAATTCTTACTTCTTATGTACATATGCATGCAAGCATGGATGCATCATACATTTTTGTTACAATAGTCATTTGTTAGAGGTGCAGGCTTACACTGCAACAGTGGTTTAGATTAAATGCACATCAAGACAAGCATATAGAAATCTACGAAGGTAAACATTGTTTAAAAAAGAAAAAATACTGAAAATAATTATGTGATTGTTACCATACTGATTATTTTTTACCTATGTATATGTATATATTGTGATATGTATATATAGGTGTCTATGTATGTAGATTGGTGTGTATATAATAACATATATCATGTATTATATAAAAGTTTGATACAGGATTTTACTGTTTTAATTTAATGTAGAATAAAAGTGCTATTTCACCACAAAAAAAAATGAAAAACCCCTAAGCTGTGAATGTCAGTCTTAGCCACAGTATTTAAGAGAAGAAGTCTTAAAAAGATTCATTTAACAAAGTGAAACAGAAATTGTAGTTAAATATACAGTACCTATACTTGCAGTAAAATAATCTATGCTAAAATATAAAGTTATGTGTTATAACACATTAAAGTCAATGTTATGGCAACTGTATTATACCTTGATGTTCATATCTCTTAATCTATCAAGCTCTGTATGCCAGTTGATATGTTGATCTGTGAAAGATGGAGGGTGGGGCACATCATCCCCTATCATCACCAATGCTCGGGCAGATCCTTCGGTCCAGCTTAACTCTTGTGCTTTCTTCAACACCCATTCATAACACTGTCGATTAAACAAAACAGAAATTGCTGGTTAGTTCATTTCTATTTGTGGATCAGTATTCCTCAATAAAAGAGAGGAAAAAGAAAAGTAAAAGGGAATAATAAATTATCAATAAAGGAAAAATAATCACTTCTTAAAGGTGATTTGGAAAGGATGGTCATAGTAATGTAAATTTTTTTTTCAATTTTAATGGACAAATCTAATCTAGTAATTTGTAGAAATAAAAAAGTTTAAATTAGTGAAAACTTAATTTTGTGTCTTGTTGGAATTTGAAATCTTATTATTTTCTTTAAATAAGAAATTCAAAGTTGTAAGTGTATTTACTACAGTCCGAAATGTATATCCTACAGGTAATTTACATTAAAACAAAATTGAAATTTAGGATTAATATAAATGGCTGAAAAAAAAGTTAATTTTACCTCTGGAGAATCACCTCCACCAGTTGATGGAACGTCATTAATGAATCGAATGAGTTTACTCCGGTTGTTTGTCAGATCACACTTTCTTAATACGTACTTGCTTTGATGATGGTTATAATCACCATGCGCCATAATGCCGATCCTGATATTGGGAATATTTTGAAGCAGACGGCTTGTTGTTTCCTCAACTTTTGAACGGACCTGCGGGTATAATTTTAAAAATATGTTTATATTACACAAATTCAATATAAAATTCTTTTTAAGTACATAATAATCTTTATTTCCACCAGAGATTTGAGGTTTCAGGTAAAGTCTCGCCAACAGTGCTGTATGGCTAAAGCAATTCTGGAACATGTCATGTCAGGGCAAGTGTGACGAATTGTTTTCAACATCGATCCTATCAGACTGCCACCATGGAATGTTGCTGCCACCAACAGTTAGCAGACTGCATTGCATTGGACAAACAGACAGACAGAAAGAGCAGACAGATTAATTAAATGATTTTTAAAATACTGTATGGAAAGTTCATTAAATATTGTTTTAATTTCAACAGCCTTCCAAATAAAATTAAAACAATGTTTAATGAACTTTCCATACCGTCTTTTAAAAATCGTTTAAACGATATATAATTTAATACTATTTAATTACTCTCTTCTAGACAAAATATTGAATCCAAATTTTACAGATTTTTATTTTTGCCTTTTCCTTTTCAATTTTGTAGTAAGTTTTTAGCTATTTTGTTTTCGATGCAGTAGTTTTATCTTTATGTACATATTGTTTTTCTTTAACTCATTAGTTTTTGGTTTAAGTTCATCTTTTTTCCATTTTGGTTTTCTTTTATTCTTTTTACTTGTGATCCACTTGTGACACCAGTGCTACTCCACTGAAAGTGTTATCACACAAAAGACAGAAATAAATAAAAATTAAATTGAGCATTGGCTAATGCAATATGCAGCATGCATTAAGAATCATTAGTTCAAAATTAATACAAAGTAAATATTTTTTCTTTATACATTTTGTTTTTTTATAAATTATTTATCTAATGACTACATTATAATAAAAAAAAAAAAAAAACATCAAAGATAATAATTTTTTAGATGATTCAAGAAATAGTCATCAAAAACATACCATACATATATTACTATTTTAAAATTCTAACTCACCTGGTCCAAGCAGGCAAACATGCTACCGGTGGTGTCAAATGAGAACACTACCTCAACATTGTTCCCTGCCTCTACAACAAAACTACTCAACAGCTCCTGTATGGGGTAAAACAAATTTTATGCATCAGTATATATACTTTAATTGATAAACATCTTTTAGTTATATCACATCATCGTGCCACTATCATATTATACCATTATTTTTCGTCACTTTCATAATTACTCAGGGGTTTAATGAGCTCTTATCTGTGCATGGTGGTATCCACTGTCACTTTTTTTAGTGAGACAATTGATAAATAAAGTAGTAAAAACGTGCAAACATCATGAATTTCAGAAAGTGGGTCATTTTTCATAAGATTCATGCATGTTTGCGGGAGAAAGTCCCGATTTTCAGGAGACTCCCGCAGCTTGCCGAAGACTTGGGACCCTTACTTACTAAATACTTTGTGTTGATGGATACCATTCATCATGACTACAATTACCAAACACACCATTATAGAATTTTCGTGCAGTACAACGTATAGCACAAAATACTTTTCTAATTGTTGCAAGCAGTGAAGCGATTCAAAACATGTTAGGTGCATACGTGGTGTTGTCGTATGCAGATTAATTACGGGAATTTTTGTTATTCTACCCTTTGACTGCGTTCAATGTGTATGTCTGCAACAAATCTGTCATTTGTCTTTTGGTTCAATGTGTAAGGTTTGCGGAACAGATATAAAATTAGACATACTACTACCATCACCACTGCAACCACAACTATCACCATAATATTAATTGTCACACAGAACAATAACATTCTAGTACCTGAAGAGTAGCTTCATCGAGTCGATCATTCTCTTCCTGATTTTGACCATTATTTGATGCTGCTTCTGGTCGTTTAACCACTTTCACCTTCACCAAAGCTTCATCATCCAATCCCAATGAGATTGCTGACTGACTCTCCTTCCCTATTATTTTCTTACCCTTCACCTGTTGATGGAGACAGAAAAAAAAGATGATTATCAACCAACAAAATTACCAGTACAAACAGTTGACAATAATAATTTTATCAACAACAATAAAGAAAAGAATATTGTTATTAAAAATGTTCATATTAAAACTGAAAATAAATAATGACAAAATTATAATTGACAATACTTATAATACACACATATATATTATGCTTTATCAAATAACTAAATTTGTGCACAAAAAAATAAACATAAATAATGCCTAAAAACTTTATAAAACATTTAATATCTACTAATACTTTACATATGTACACATGGGAAACAAATTAATTAGAATACTTTGGAAATAGGTCTATTATACCTTCAGTTTAGAGAATCACTTGCATAAGCCCTGTGTACTCTTAATATTTTTTATTAAACATTATTGTGCACCAACTGACCTCCATCTCAACACTATTTGATGATCCAACCTCTAACCTTTCAGCTAACATATTCTTGACTTCTTGAATCGTATTTATATTCTCAATACACATTGGGATGGTTTCACCATTCTCCTTCTGAACATTAATGTTGTACTTCTTCACTTCAACCACCTGAAGAATACAAAAATATTACAATTTGGAAGTGTCGTGTATTTTCATTTTCCATACTTCACAAATAGCAAAATTTGTTTGACGCAACAATGGCAGGCATCAAAACAAACATAAGTTAAAAAAGAACATAGGCCTATAATACATATGCACCAACTTTTTTAGCTTAAAATTCCTTATCAATACCAAAGGTTAAGTCAGGTATATAGTACTCCTTAGTTTTATGTTTGTCAAACTCAACAGACAGTTATTCAGACTATCATATTCTATTTGACAAAAACATGTGACATGCCTAAATATGGTCATGATGACATTACATTATGACCATATACAGGCACATCATGACTATATATGGGCATTCAATAGTTTTTTTGTCAAAGAAAATTGGATAGTGTGGACAGAGTTTTACATTGTCACACATCCATTAGACATACTGTTTGATCAGATTTGCAAGCATACTCTACCAGAGTTTGCTCAAAATGTAAAAATATATACAGTAATAATTCTCAAATTTCTAATATAAATAACTACTTTTCCAGTACTGTACTTCTGCCAAATATAATAGCATTTAATCATATAAGAAATGGATTAATCATTTTATCAGACCTCTGCTTTTAGAACTGTTTCAGGCCGAACGCCAAGGTAGCTAAGTTTATGAAATCTGTTTAATATCTTGCCACTGTATTTGATGATGATTTCTCTGGCAGATACCTTCTCTTCTTCAGCAACCTGTTTGCACACATCTTCAATCTAGAAATTTTAATTTAAAAAAATTAAAGATTTAGGGTAATGAATATAGCATTTGCATTTAAATGTTTTAAGACACCAACAAAAAATAAACAAATCTCCAAGTATTCATGTTGAGTATAAAATTGTATATCTTATTATATTTGATATTAAATAAATATAATATATCACATAAATAAAAAATGTAAATATTTGAATGTAGGTACCGTTTTATTAGAAGATAATTGAAAGTTGGTTGTTCTTCCTGATTTGGAAAGCTTCACATTAACACCAAGATTTCCAGAGGCAGCACACGATTTTGATTTTGAAGGCATTCTGTCACTCCTGTTGTTCAAATGAAAAAACATATACAAGTTTGAGTGTATTGAGACTCCATCATGTAGGTATTATTACTTTGATGAATTGTTTCCATATCTTACGCCTAAGTCAACTGTGTCTATGATGAATAATTTCTAAGTCGATCTTATTTTACATGCCAAATTGTTGTGTTTTCCATTATTAATGAACAATCTGTAAGTCAAATTTTATCTAATTTACATGCCAAATTGTTGTGTTTTCCATTATTAATGAACAATCTGTAAGTCAAATTTTATCTAATTTACATGCCAAATTGTTGTGTTTTCCATTATTAATGAACAATCTGTCAGTCAAATTTTATCTAAGTCAAACAATATTTCAATGGCATTTTAGATTTGACTTAGGCAAGTTCAACTGTATACCCAATACAAACCTAAACAAAATGCTTCAACTTAAAAATATGTCCATAATTCCCGATATTCTTACTATTAATATTACTCACAGCAGTGGTTTGTATGAAATTACAAAAAAAACAAATTTGTAAAAGCCCTTCCAGACTGTACTACTACAGTAACCACTTATCTCCCAGCCATAGTGCTATTATTTGTCCGATAGGGTCTGAAGGAGGATATATTTTACTTGAATTATGTATAGAATTATGATTATTTGTTGTATTTGTGAGGAGAGCCCCTTGATATAGAAAAAGCTTTCATTTTTAGGCAATCCTGCCACATGACAACAATATTTTTATATATTATAGTACAATAAATTAAGTGAGGAACCCAGAAGCAGGGCCAGCTCAGAATCCCTCAGAGGGGTTCCAGAGCTTGGAAAGGCCAAAGAAACTCCAACAATTTCAGGATTTGAAAGACTTATTAATTGATTATGTTTCCAGTGACAACATTCTGTAAAAATTTGCATGGATTTTGTTCCCTGGCACACCATAGGGCTGTATTTGGGCTAGCCTGTGAGTTTGTTCTTTTTGCTCAATCTTGATTTGTTGTTGATGTTGTTTCAAAGTCGTTTAAAACTGTGTATGCATTATTCAAAACTATGCAAAGTTTCCATCAACATTTGTGGCAAAGACAAGCCAAACCAGTCACTCGTCGCAAATTGTATCTATACATCATGCTGTGCTGTTATTTTTCCCAATTTCAATGTTAAAACAACACTTTTTAAAGATTTTATGATAGTTTCTGCATGAGAAATGCCTGAAATCACTTTGAAGGCTGATTTCTCATACAGTATATTGTTCTTTAAACAGCTGTATGCTTAAATGCTTGTAACTTCATAAGGAAATGTCGGATTTGAATGAATTTTTTACCATTTTATAGCTCTTATTTAACCCTTTGACCCTGTATTAATAACTCAAAATCGATTTTTGCGACGAGTGACTGGTTTGGCTTGTCTTTGCCACATTTAGTACAAAACGTGACTTTTAAATGTATTCACCGATACTGATATATTAACTTGATTATATTTTGACATAGTGTATTTTTTTGGAAGATACACATCAATTCCGATGTTTTTAAAGCAATCGGCAAATTTGCAATGATTAAAGACAAGCTAGAATGGAAAAAATAAGTTCTAATAAAAATTGCATTTATTAAGGATTTACCACTACTAAATAAAAGCTACTGTATACATAGACTTTTATATTACCACAAATTGGTAGGACACCTTGAAGTGATGAAAACAACCCAAGTCAGTGAGTGCATATCCAACAAGAAGAGATGACTCTTGATGTTGATGCTGAATTCTTGTTATATTTAAAAGGATCCTATTAAAAATTCATCGATGTTCATCAACCCCAATCCTCCCCTTCCCCTACCACTCACTGCTAGTGAAATCCCTGCTGCTTCCTGGGACTTGCTAGCCAAGCCTACCTAGGGTCTGGCTTACAGCAGCCTCTAGAGAAGTCGAGTGTGCATCTAGCAAGCATATTCTACTAGGCCTAAGCTAAGCCTAATACTACAACGACATCCATATTATATGCTCGCCTAAACCTAGCCAGGTAAGGCCCTGTGTTGTTGCGTGATTCGTGATGTAGGCTAGGCCTAGCTTAAGTAAGTGGGGCCTAGGCTAGGCCTAATAATAGAGCATGAGGCCCTATCTTGAGCTAGGCTAGGCCTATGCTATACCAAATAATCATATTAGAGAATACAAAAAAGACTTTACCTCTCTTTATCTAAGTTGATGCTATGTTGGGTAACATTCAATGTCAACTATAGGCTTCAAAATAATGAACAAACGCCATGGTCGATATTTTATACATTTTAAAAGCATAAGCTTTCAGTCATGACTGAAAATAAACATCCTCGCTCTCTGTGCTTGTAGTTTATATACCGATTACGACACGAGTTAAGATGTGTATAAGAGACAGTATCTTGCCAGGTCGACATAGTAAAATATTATGTTGTCATGGAGAGATAGATTATCTTATCTTACATAATAAAAA